TGTGGGGGGGTTCAATATTGCATATGTGACTTTGAAGCAAAAGTGCCAAAGAAATCAGGAGACTTGTGTTCCCAAATCACTTAAGCTTTCTCAGCTGCTTTCTCTTTCAAAACTACAGCTGTCAGTCATCAGTATCTTATTAAGCAGTACAAGTGTGGGAGGATGTTGAGTGTGTTTTCACTTGACAGCAGAAAAGTAGCACAATTCTTTCTTGTCATTTAAAATTAATAGACAAAACAATTAATGGGAGTTACATATGCCCCTGCTAAGGAGAGAAGAATGAATCTGAATGGAATGTTTTTTTCTGAGACACAGACAGACTGTTTATGGACTCTTCAAATTTTCTATGACAATCATCAGCAACCATCACAGCTAGAATCACAGAATCACAGAATGGTTGAGGTTGGAAGGGACCTCTGGACTCCACCACCCCTCTGGGCAACCTGTTCCAATGCTCTGTCACCCTCACAGTGAAGAAGTTTTTTCTCAGGTTCAGATGGAACTTCCTGTGGTTCAGTTTCTGCCCATTGCCTCTTGTCCTGTTGCTGGGCACCACGGAGAAGAGGCTGGCCTCATCCTCTTGACACTCCCCCTTCCGATACTTGTACACGTTGATGAGATCCCCTCTCAATCTTCTCTTCTCCAGGCTGAACAGGCCCAGCTCTTGCAGTCTTTCTTCAGAGGAGAGGTGCTCCAGCCCTCTAATCATCTTGGTAGCCCTCCGCTGGACTCTCTCCAGGAGTGCCATGTCTCTCTTGTACTGGGGAGCCCAGAACTGGACACAGTACTCCAGGTGAGGCCTCACCAGGGCTGAATAGAGGGGCAGGATCACCTCCCTCGACCTGCTGGCAACACTCTGCCTAATGCACCCTAGGATCCCATTGGCCTTCTTGGCCACAAGGGCACACTGCTGGCTCATGTTTAACTTGTTGTCCACCAGCACTCCCAGGTCCTTCTCGGCAGAGCTACTTTCCAACAGGTCAGTCCCCAGCCTGTACTGGTGCATGGGATTATTCCTGCCTAGGTGCAGGACCTTGCACTTGCCTTTGTTGAACTTCATGAGGTTCCTCTCCGCCCACCTCTCCAGCCTGTCCAGGTCCCTCTGAATGGCAGCACAGTCTTCTGGTGTGTTAGCCTCTCCCCCCAGTTTAGTATCATCAGCCAACTTGCTGAGGGTGCACTCTGTCCCTTCCTCCAGGTCATTGATGAATATATTGAACAAGACTGGGCCCAGGACTGACCCCTGGGGGACACCACTAGCCACAGGCCTCCAACTTGACTCTGCGCCATTCACCACAACCCTCTGAGCTCGGCCATCCAGCCAGTTCTCAAGCCACCTCACCGTCCACTCATCTAGCCCACACTTCCTGAGCTTACCTAGGAGGATGTGATGGGAGACAGTGTCAAAAGCCTTGCTGAAGTCCAGAAAGACAACATCCACTGCTCTGCCCTCATCTACCCAGCCAGTCATTCTGTCATAGAAGGCTATCAGATTGGTCAAGCATGATTTCCCTTTGGTGAATCCATGCTGACTACTCCTGATCACCTTCTTGTCCTCCAGATGCTTAGTGATGACCTCCAGGATGAGCTGTTCCATCACCTTTCCCGGGATGGAGGTGAGGCTGACAGGCCTGTAGTTTCCTGGCTCCTCCTTCTTGCCCTTTTTGAAGACTGGCGTGACATTGGCTTTCTTCCAGTCCTCAGGCACCTCTCCTGATCTCCAGGACCTTTCAAAGATGATGGAGAGAGGCCTAGCGATAACATCCGCCAGCTCCCTCAGCACTCGTGGGTGCATCCCATCGGGGCCCATGGATTTGTGGATGTCAAGTTTGGACAAAAGATCTCTAACCCGATCCTCCTCAACCAAGGGAGAGTCTTCCTTTCTCCAGCCTTCCTCTCTTGTCTCCAAGGTCTGGAATTCCTCAGGACTGGCCTTAGCAGTGAAGACAGAAGCAAAGAAGGCATTCAATAACTCTGCCTTCTCTGTATCCTTTGTCACCAGGGCACCCGCCCCTTTCAGCAGCGGGCCCACGTTTTCCCTAGTCTTCCTTTTGCTATTGATGTATTTGAAGAAGGCCTTCTTGTTGTCCTTGACATCCCTTGCCAGATTTAATTCCAGCTGGGCCTTAGCCTTCCTTGTCGCATCCCTGCACGCTCTGACAACGTCCCTGTATTCCTCCCAAGTGGCCTGTCCCCTTTTCCACATTCTGTACACTTCCTTCTTCTGCTGGAGTTTGGCCAGGAGTTCCTTGCTCATCCATGCAGGTCTCCTGCCCGCTTTGCTGAACTTCTTCCTCAGAGGGATGCACTGATCCTGAGCCTGGAGGAAGTGACGCTTGAATATTAACCAGCTCTCTTGGACCCCTCTTCCTTCTAGGGCCCTACCCCAGGAGATTCCCCTAAGTAGGTCCCCGAAGAGGCCAAAGTCAGCTCTCCTGAAGTCCAGCGTTGCAATCCTACTCATTGCCCTGCTCCCTCCTCGCAGGATCCTGAACTCCACCATCTCATGGTCACTGCAGCCAAGGCTGCCCCCAACCTTCACATCTCCAACTAGACCTTCTTTGTTCGTTAGTACAAGGTCTAGCAGTGCACCTCTCCTCGTTGGCGTCTCCACCACCTGAGTCAAGAAATGATCATCAATGCTTTGCAGGAACCTCTTTGACTGTTTGTGCCTAGCTGTGCTGTCTTCCCAGCAGATGTCAGGGTGGTTGAAGTCCCCCATGAGAACCAGGGCCTGTGATTGTGAGGCTACTTCCAGCTGTCTGTAGAAGGCCTCATCGATGACTTCCTCCTGATCAGGTGGCCTGTAGTAAACCCCCACAACAGTGTCACCCATGTTACCCTGCCCTTTAATCCTTACCCATAGGCTCTCCACTTGCTCTTCATCCACCCCTAGGCAGAGCTCCATACATTCTAGTTGCTCCCTCACATAAAGAGCAACTCCACCACCTCGCCTTCCTGGCCTGTCTTTCCTAAAAAGCACATAGCCATCCATGACAGCATCCCAGTCATGTGAGCTATCCCACCATGGCTCTGTCACTGCAATGAGATCATGGCCCTGTGACCGCACACAGATCTCTAACTCTTCCTGTTTATTCCCCATGCTGCGTGCATTGGTATACAGGCATTTCAGAGAGCCAGTCAAGCATGCAAGCTTCCCAGGAGAGGTGCAAGAAAATCCCCCCCCCCAAAAAAAGTCCTACCTTATATATTTATGCACAGAGCCATTTTTACATAGCTCCCAATGATCTATCTTTAATTTCTGTGGCATTTTGTGGCAATAAATTCTAAAGTTATTTCCTTCTCCCTCAAAAAAGGCAGTAGAACTCAGAAGCCAGGGATTCTGAATATATGACATTTCCATTATTGTTACAAATGTAAATATTTATAGGTTTCTCATCATTTTGTGTCTAGGTGCACTTTGTCCTGTTTATAAGGAAACAAACACAATCAGGATACCGTGGAGCACAGCTAACACATTCCTTGTAAATGGGAACTGTTGTTTGTGAATGAAATGTAGCTAAGGATTGATTTTGATGTAGATGACAGCGTCAAAAAAGACCCCCCAAAAAGGAGAGACTTGTCAGGAAGCTGCAAAATGCAAAAGTGCACCACAAAGAGCAGGTATTGTTTGTGGTTAGCCCCTATAGTCTATTTCAGAAATATATAAACTCACATTCCCAAAGATGACCTTTCAATTGCAAACTAATGTTCCTAAGCCTGTAGGCCTACAGTTCTAGGGCTTCTCGGACAGTTCATAGTTCTGTCAAATAAAAAAAGAAAAACAAAAGAGGCTTTTGTTAATTGTTGTTGAGAAATACTGCATAGTAACAAAGATAGACTCTCCAGATAGAGTCTTTTATAAAGATGCTTTTAGCTTTCTTGTTCCTTTCTACACAGCCTGGTAAACGTATCAAGCTCTGCTTGCTACTCCCAGTTAGAGGTAGCAAAGGTGTTTAGAAGTAGCAAACTTAAGACAAATCTCATTTAAATCCTGAATGCTCTAGATAATTGCTGAGATCTTTTCTCACCTTTTCCTGTCAACAATTCAGTGGGAAAAAAATGGACAAGAAATCAAACACTGGGAAAACTGTAGCTGGATCAAATTCCCAATGATCTTTACACTTGGGAAACTTTCATTTGTGTTTATCTCCTCCCTTGGAATCATAAAAAGGGGGGGGGGGAATGCCACACATGCACACAACCATGCTCAGTCTCCCCCTCCACTATACAAAACTTTTTCATCCTCCTATAAATTTAAATAAATAGAATTGTGATTAAAATCACCAGATTGGACTGCAAATAAAATTAGCATTTTAGAGCTAGGAGAGATTGGTTTTTGAAGGAAGAGATGGAGGGAAGAGAAAAATTGAGGTTAAAAGACGGGGGGGGGAGAAAGGGGTGTTCTTGTTTTTTTAAGGGCAAAACTTAGAGGGGAAAATGCCAAAAGAACCTGAAAGATCAGTGAGAAAGGAAGATCTGAATTCAATCTTCTCCTTCCCCCCCCTATTATCCTCTGCATTTCCAACCCCTCCTCACTTCCCGGGCACGTAAGATTGCAGAGTTCCCGGGCAGCCCCCTTCACACTGCCTTGCGGGCTCTTTCTCGCTGGCGTCAACGGCGCGCGCTTGTCAGCTACCTGCGTCACTACTAGGGAGGGGAGGGGAACACCATGCCTTACCCAGTCCCTTCCTCCTTCCCCGGTTTCGAGAGTCCAAGTTTATTTTCTCAGTGACCATAGCGATGGTGGGCGTGGTTCGGGGAGCAAAGAGGAAGGTGGGCGGGGGTGAAGCTATATAAGTGGGGCTGATCCGACATGTGGCTTGATCGTTTAGAATGGGCGTGTAGTGCTTTTACGGTATGTGAGCGTCAGCCGGTCTGGCCTGCCTGCGAGAATGCTCGTTGCAGCAACGTTGCGAACGCCAGCGGCGGGGGGGTGGCCGGGCGGTGACGGCTGCTGCTGCTGGCTGCTGCTGTTGTATCGCAGAGGGATTCGTACAGCAATTAACACCGGAGACAGCTGGACTTGTTTGCTCCGGGGCAGAAGAAGCCGAAACACAATTTTTTCTTTTTTCCTTAAAAAAAGGTAATTTTAAAAAGGACTTTTTTGTTAAGAAAAGTGAGGGAAGGCGAGGAGAGCAGTCCAATCCCCTGCACCGATCCTGGCAAACGCCCACGGTTGTTTAATTTCCCTTTTGATTAAAGGAATCCAATAGTAATTTTTAGTTTTGTTGAATTTATTCTATTCTTTGGGTTGGGGGGGTGCTGCACCCCTGTACCATGCATGCTTGTATAAGTTTCATTCCAATTTCTATTGCTTCTGCAGCACCTTCTGCCAGATGTGCAGAGTAAGAGGAGCCCTTGCCATATTAATGAGATGTGTGCTGTTCTTGTTTGATTATTTTTATTTTTTATCACAGTGGAGTTGGCTGTTCCTTGCCATAGTGGATGTTGGGGGATTTGTGCAGATCGAGGAGGATCAGAGTGTTCGAGCTGCAACTTATTCCTCTGTCGTGTCCCCTGCCCCCCGGTCTCCCTTGTGTCTGCAGGCAGCCATCCGGTGAGTTTGATATGGCTCTCAGCGGTACGGTTCTCCCCTCTATCTCTGCCTTGGCAGAAGGCACGGCAGGCAGGGAGAAAACTCTCAGGCAAGCAGGTACCAGCAACATGAGCATCCTTTTTACTTCTCTTTCCCCTCTTAATCTCCACAGCTATCCACTTCAGCTCTTGTTCTAAGAGAGCAATGTAATCAACTGCCTCCCTTGCAATGGGGAGGGAGGGGGGTTATCGTCCCACAGCAGCAGGGCTGGGTTTGTTTAATGGGAATCCCACGGGCCAGCAACTGTCAAGGTGGGGAACGGCATCGGGGTTTTGTCGGTTCCAGTTCTATGCTCAGTTTCCTGTCACTCCTTCAGGCTCTGATTTAGAAGGCGCTACTGTGCGGGTGGGAGGGGAATGAATTTGCCACTCTCCGAAGGTGATGTCTCTCCAGGCCACAGCACTTTCCCTTGTTAAAAATAAATAAAATAAAAGGAGGGGGGTAATGTGGATCCAGGCTGCAATCACTGCCTGTGAAAGGCTGAACAAATGCCCTGCACCCAGGTGGGGTTGGATGGCAATGCCTTGTAAGAGCTTAGGGAGTCGCTTCAGTTCCTAGTTGCTTCTTTTAAACTATGTGAGGAAGGTGGAGAAGTATCTGCCAATGCAAGGTGGTTTCCCAGTATGTACCCCAGGTAGCACCTCTCCACTGTATGAGGTCTACCATGGTGACACATTGTAGGTGGAGATGGCAGTAGGGAGTCCCTCTTAGAAAATAAGAACATCTATTCCTCTGCCTCTGATGGTTCGCCCACATTGCTGCATTTGGTGTGCGGCCAGGGGGCTTCATTCCCCCCACCCACCCCAACATTGAGGGTAGCTCGGGGGGAGGGAAGGGAAGTGAAGCGGCTGTTTCCAAACCGATCTGCAAGGCAATGCCAAGATTGCATGGAGGGACGAGAGGGGTCCCTTCTCCCCCTTCCCATCCATGTCCACAGGATGGTGCCCCTAGCGGAAAAGTAGGGAGCAGGAGCCCTGCTGAGGGGTTGCCCATCGAGGGGGTGGGGACAGGGAGCGGGTGGCTTTGCTGCAGAGTGTGTGTGACCAGTGCCTGTTTCCCTGCAGAGGTGGTGGGAGGAGCTGTCCCAACTGAAGCGGCTCCCAAGGGCACTGGCCGGGGGG